GCGTGAAGAAAAAATGGCCTCTTCCATTCCTTCTCAATCTTTATATGAAAAACAGGAAGAAAGGAAGGCTCACCTGAGCTGGAGGGTTTATGGCCAGAAAAATAACGTTCATCGAGATATTTCGCGACGTAACTTTCTTCACCCGCTTCACGGCAAGTAAAGCCTGCCGTGGCGCGATCCATAATTTCCAAAAGCTCATCATACGCAGGGCAGGAGGATTGGGAAGGCTCAGCCTCAGCTTCTTTGCCCTCTGCTAGTGCTCACCATAATGAGATAAATAGAGATCGCTCTTACCACAGAAATGCACACTTCAAACAAAACAGTCAATGAAGACGAAGAAGAGAACGATGTGTATCTCCCGGTGCCTATTTATACTATAGTCGCACCGGTAGTGACGTCATGGCTGTCGCCGGCCAACGAGTTGGTGTTTTTTCAATGTATGCTTCAGACACGGGTCACGACGAGGCGTTCCCCATAGCGATCCCTAGAGGACGCAGTTCGAAGTTCCCATGAAAGGGAACATTAATTCTTCTTTCAAAAACGTGTATACAAACACAGTCAATGACCATGAAGAAACTCACTTTGTGCACCAGGGCAGGGCTGTGTGTTGCAGTTCTCCGCAGCATGAGGTCTAGAGAAAGCAGAACATCTTTCATCTGGATACTGATTGCGATCCAAATCCATGCAAACCACTCTGCGCTCGCGAGTACCAGTTCCACAGCTACGAGAACACTGAAGGAGACAGGGAGAGAGGTATATGCTTAAAACTGATTGGATTTCTCCTTTACGCCCTTCCTCTCCTTCCTTCTCTCACCAGGCTGAAGTCATTGATATAGTATCTAAAAAGTTTGTGGCAAGCTGATCTCTGACAGGATCTGGCATCATGTGGGCGTGTGAGACCCCTGCAGTGGTGCTCAGGGATGCGCTCTCCTCTGCCCCCAACACAGAACACCTCTCGTGTCTGCTGTCCCTCACCACACGTCACCGAACACTGGAGGAAACAAGAGAATAGAACAACAATCAAAGTTAGAAATAACAGAGCAACACCTGTGTGAGAGCATGAGTCGATATTAATGAAATAACTGCATACATCACCAAAGGGACCGACACTGTACTCGGCACAGCGGTGCTCGTTGCAGGCCTTCTGGGAAGCTGGTTTCCTGAGGCCTTGTGCAGTGCAATGAGATCCATCGACCATTGCTGATGTTCTCTCATTAATACAGTACACACTACGGGTCTGCACTCCTCCACCGCAGTGCAGTGAACACTCTGAAAAGGTGCTGTATGTGTACCTACAAACACAATCAGTCACACTTTATTTGAATTTTGAAGCACTTTATATTTGTTTTATGGCTGTTGAATCGATCCAATTTTGGTTGCGATTAATCACGATTAATTGATTTGACAGCCCTAATTTGTTAACATACAATATTGCAAAGCATTATACACTAAACAAGTAATGACAAGAAAAAAGAAATAGACAATATTACAAATAAGGTGCTAACTACTAAATAAAATTAAGAGTACATAACTATTCAAAATGAAACAGTTTGTTTCTGTTTTCTTTCTGTTCCACCAACAAAAATATCTCTAAATAAGCAGCAGCAGGAAAATACGCAGTAGCAGTGTTTTGTTCCTGAATGAATCAGCTTGCTTGAGGGAATCGACTGCATGAATGATTCAATGACTCGCTCATAAAGATGTGAGCAGAATTCACAGCAACACATTGCCTACCAGAACACTCTCATGATTTCTGCCATATAACAATATGGTCAAATTAGCATTTTAATATGCAGTTCTGAATTCAGTATTGTTTTTGTTCTTGAATGAATCAGTATTTTGAAACAAATCAGTTTAATTATACTTGTTTTGTTCCTGACTGAATCAAATATGAGGTCTTTGAAGAACAAAAGTGGGCATTTCTAAGCTTGTGGGTGTTTCTAAAATATTGCAATAAAAATGACACCCCTTACTAGACCACACCCCTTAACACAACTGTCACTCTGACCTGAGCAAATCAGGTAACGCAGTCGAAAACGGCCCTCCATTTTGCTCTCGCCCACCAATCTGGTAACTCCCATTACTGTCCTCCAGAGACCTATGCTTGACTGAATCAGCTTTTTAAAACAATCAGTTGATACTCATAAAGACAGTCACTTATCGCCTTCTACTGACATATCAGTGTCACCTGCAGAAAGTGACTGAAAAACACACAGTCTGTAATATAATATAATATAATAAACAAAAACAAGCAAATCAAAAACAACAGAAAGTCCTGAAAAAACTATATAAACAAAGAAGTATCTTTCAAAAGAAGTATGCAAGCATACACATATACATATGTTTCATTTTACATGCATACACATATCCCACATGCATAAAATTGTACATAAATTACCTGTAGGTGACCAGAAGGGCAGCAGCTCCAGTGCCACGTCTAGAGGTGACAGGAAGAGAGTGATCCTCAAAACCCACAATCTCCCCATGGCTCACCGCCTTTCAGCAAAGATAAGGGTGTTAGAATAAACTGTTTGTGTGTGTGGTTTTGTGCTGTAGTCAGTGTACACGTACTCTGCAGACTCCCTCCACACAAAAGTCTCTGCGGCCCACGTAGCATGGTGTGCCGTCCACCACAGCAGGTCTGTGACGGTAGAAGAAGTTCTCTCCTCTGGGCACACACACCAGCTCACATGGGTTTGAAGCTGGGCCAAAACACAACAGGTCATGTGATTATATAAAGAGCCTCATCTTGGGACACCAGTGCACTGAACTGCCCGAGGAAGGTTTTTGACCATGAAAACATGTGAAAGCTTCCAGAATTTTCTAACTTAACAACTGATTATATCGAATTACATGTTAAACACTTAATTTCTGCACAAAAGTCTTTCACTCGTTGTCATTTAAGAAATTAAAGCCCCAATTTAAGCCGCTGCGTAATAATCTTTTAAACAACAAATAATTTTTCTTAATCAGTAAATATTTTTATGTTTTTCATTTTTTTTAAATTTCCAAAAATCCTTAAAACCTGATTATTTTATAAAAGGCAAATATATATATATTTAAATATTTATGTGTAAATATAACCAAATTTAATAAGGTTTATTATTAAAACAAGAAAATTGCAGTGGGATGAGATCTATTCATTCAAGTTATAGTCTCTGAAATCAACCTTTAATATATTAAATAAATTAAATATATATAAATAAATAATAAATAAATATATGAAATGAAATGTATGCATTTATTTATTATTTAATTTTTAATTCAGCTCCCTACCTTAAAAATAGTAGCTGTTGCAGCTCATAAACACAAATACACTTACAAAACATCTTTAGTTCCTCATATAAAAACTGCATAATCGATAAAATGTTATTTAGTCAATGCTTTGTGTAATTTTCTACCTCCATAGTATGGCTGCCACGTGTAACGTTTTCCCTGGAACTCCATTCGGTCAAAATGAGAACACTGTTCTTCACGGAAATCTCTAGATCCAACAGGGCATTCCTTTATAGAGGACAAAAGTCATAGAAATGTTGTTTTTTTTAAACATAGAGTTTGAGCATTTTTTGGGGTGTTAAGTTGTTTACCTGTGTGTTACAGAGTTTGTAGGACTTGGATAGTCCAAAGCAATTGTGCCCACCATCCGTCCTTAATATTGAAAAATAGAGACTGAGTTATGAAGAAAAGGGTTCTTATAAAGAAAAGGTTTCAAATGTACTAAACACACACATTCACCTACCTCATAGTGTTGCAGACCCTGGTTCTCACTGCTACTCCAGTGCCACAGGTGCGGCTGCAGGCTCCGTACGGGCCATATTCACCCCAGTAATCATTAGACGGCTGCCTCACCTATAACCAAACACAATATCTATCATGGTGGGGACAAATTTCAATCTGACATAGATCATACCATTTTCCATTAATCACCTAAACATCCATGGGGAATTGCTTTAGATAAAAACATAGGCACAAAGAGCACAGATGTGAACACAAATGTAGTAGATCTGATGACTGATTTACTAAAGATCTCAAATCTGATTATAGTAGTCATTTCTGCAATAATTTATACTATGTCTTAAGCACGTGTTTCATTTTTGTGTTACTCACACAGAGAACTGCAGAGATCAAGCACAGGATCCCGAAAAGAGAGTGGAGCATCATCTTCAAGATACAAATCATACATTATTTTAATACATTTCTACGTTTTTGCTGAACACAAATTATTCAGACTTCTATGATGAGTGGTCACTTACCTTCTCAGTGTGTTACTTCGAATATCCCAAGTTCACCCAGTCACAGCGAGAGAGTTGTAACGCAGATGTCCATTCACTCAGGAGTGAATAGCTCTGCCTTTGTGCACATGTACACAAACTTACCAATACACACTACTCATATCAGGTTACAATGAACCCCTCTTGGGAGAAAATCATGCAGGAATCTTATCATGATAAAGGGGAAATGAATCGGTGACTACTACACAAATTTAATTTAGTTTAAAACCTTAATCACACTTATTGATTACTTTGGCAAAAATGAAAAACAGATTGAGTTCTACACAACATGTTTATTTAGACATTTTGGTGTAATTTAAATCTTCATTCAATCATTTTGCAGTCTTCTAGAAGAAAGATCAAAGGTCATGTTTATATAGCATTTTTCACAATGCATTTTTCAAATCAGTTTAACAGAAAGATACAATTTGACCGGTCTAGTAAAGGAATATTTCACCCCAAGAAAATTAAAAATTTGTTTTGTTTGGTGGAAAAATTCATTTCTATTGACTTCTGTGTGAACATATGTGCTTATGGAACATAAAATAGTGCATGTGTTTTCTTGAAACTGCTGTGTAGTCACAATGAGGGATGGATTTCGGACTTAAGAGGAAGATATATGGGTGATAAAGGGTCCACAGAACCATATGGGGCATATGGGAGGATAACTGGGAGACCCATAGGCATCTGCCCGTGACCTGAGGGGTCATCTAGGTCCTAAATATAGGGGGAACCGATCTTTAGAAGTATGATATAATATTGTGTTTTTGACTTTCTGTCCATGTATGGAAAATACAGCTGTTAAGAGTTTGTAACCTTGACTTGGAGAAGAGATATAAAGCGGAGGCTTGCCCTCCCTTCCTTGTCACACTCTGCAGCGATTTGTATCCTGTATGGTGTTTGACCTTCTTTGCAAAGAATAAAACCTTTAAAAGACACTGAGAGTGAGTTTGTCTCTTATGCTGATGAGAGTTATTTAATTTTGCCCCAACATTTTGTTTCTACAAACACACAGCTTTTGACTTCACAAGACATTAACTGACGTACTGGAGTCATACGGATTACTTGTGGATTATTTTATCAGCTGTCTGATCTCTCATTCTGACGGCACCCATTCACTGCAAGTGGATCCATTGGTGAGCAAGTGATGTAATGCTACATTTCTCCAAATTGATTCCAAAAAACAAACAAATGCACCTACAACTTGGATGACCTGAGGGTCAGAACAGTTTCAGCAAATGTTCATTTTTGGGAGAACTATTCCTTTAATGGGGCCAGAAGCCCAAAATATTTTTTAGAAAGAGAGAGAGAACATTATTGTATGTGTATTGTGTGACAGATCTCACAGTGAGGCTCTTTTCAATGTTCTAACCACAGATGTTCCTCTTAGTACCACAAAACATATAGTATTAAATCATAGGGGTGGAAGAGCTTTGTGACATTCATTCCTCTAAGCTGTTATTTTAGTCCCTGTCACTTTTCAGCAACCAAAATGACAGACGGTAGCTGTCATTGTGAAGGAGAATGCAGACCCACTGTACCAATTTTACCTAAAGGATTGGCTTCACTTCCACCCCAACAACTAAGATCCAGACACCACGTATACTACTTATGGAGACAATGAAGTTGGATCAACAGGATGCATTGTGTAACAATTCGTAAGGGAGTTCAATCAAATTTCAGGCATGTCATTTTCTGGATGTTTCCTTGTATCTCATCTTAATATGCAGAGACAACTATAAGTCATTCGTATGTTGATTACCCTTAAAAAAGTGTAAAAACTGTAGCTTTATCAGAGCTGTCGGTTGAGCTTCTCAGCTTGCCTTTCTTTGGCATCCAAAGCGTACTTGGTGTCTTGGAGGTCCTCGATGGTCTCCAAGGCCTCCTGCAGCTCCTTGTCAAGGGCGTTGTATTTGTCAGTCAGTATTCTGTTCTCCAGGCGGAGCTCCATGATGTGGCGACTCAGCTCCAGGTTGTAATGGCCACAGTGCCCACGTAGCTGCTCCACCTCCCTCAGCAGGACCTCCATACTCCTCATCAGAGACTCCAGCTTCTCCTGCCGCTGCGTCATACTGTTCAGTTGATTTTTGCACTTAGGGTTTGTATAATATTCCTAAAAGAAACAAGAGGAAAAAGGATATAGACACAGGCAAACACAGACTGAAATCCTCCGACGCGTCTCTGTCTAATAGTGTCCGTTTTAAACAAATCCAGTTTGTTTAATCCCCTCCTTGTCTCACCTCTTTCTCCTTCTACCTTCTACTCTCTCTCTCTCTCTCTTTCGTTTCTATATAGACATCAGTGGTCTTTGGCTAATTTTGGCTTAGGTTACTGATTTTACAATGGACATCAAGTGTCAATCCAATACCTGTATTGTTTTTGTTAACTAAATCTAAAACTCCTAAAAAGAAAAGAAAAACGTGGTATAAATGTAATTCCCCATCCAACATCTAATAGCTAAATATTTTATTAATATACCAGCCATATTACAAAGTGACAGATGCATTAATGCCAAAAATACTGTAGAGTTTGATTGGATGAATCAACCACCTTTGTTATCATCAACAACTATATGAAAAGTGTTTTCTCCTCCCCTCAAATTAGTTGCATTGTATTCAGTATTGTTTATCTCCATTGTGACAGACCTTCTACCCATTTTTGGGTTGTGAAACCACTGATCCAAAGGACATTCTGTTATTTTCTAGATGGTAATCCTCTTTATTAAACAGAACACATCCCTAAAAACATGCATGCACACACACACACATATCATCAACAACTATATGAAAAGTGTTTTCTCCTCCCCTCAAATTAGTTGCATCGTATTCAGTATTGTTTATCTCCATTGTGACAGACCTTCTACCCATTTTTGGGTTGTGAAAACCACTGATCCAAAGGACATTCTGTTATTTTCTAGATGGTAATCCTCTTTATTAAACAGAACACATCCCTAAAAACATGCATGCACACACACACACACACACACAATTGCACATTACACCTAAAGAAAGGAGACTTTTGGTTGATTGATGTGCAGAATCTTCTGCTCACAATGCCTAACGATCAGTCAAGCAAAGGTAAAAGTGTGCCTTGCTAAAGGTTAAGCCACTAAAATCCCTAAGGGGATTACCATGCCAACACAAGTACTTTAGCCCCAGACTGTGTGACTGCTTATTCAGTACACTGCCAGTCCTTCTCACTTTAGAGGCTAATACTCTCCAAAAGATCAATCTGATCAAATCGGTTTCTATTGTAATAGATGAGCAAAATGCTAATTTGTAGAGCAAGAGAATTGAGCTCGCAGCTATAAAACAAAGAATGTAACATCAGGTTAAAGTTTCATGCATAGTCTTTTAATCTGATGGCACAGTCAGGTGCACAAGTAAAGCTAGACACAAGCTAGTCCAGCAAAAGTTATCAGGAATCAGAGACTGCAAACAAAAGAGAGACACAGAGAGAAAGCCATAAAGACAGCTTGCCCAAATTATTGCCACATTCAGCTTGTTACACAAACATCACTGCTGCTAAAAACACAGCTGCTGCTGCTAAGACGCTGCTGACATGTAGTACTTTTTTGTGAGTTATGGCCCTGCAATTCTTACTGTTTGTTCTTGTTTTCCCCATAGGACATAAATATATAAATATATTTAAATATAGACATATTTTCTATGTAAAATATTTTTAAACATATAAAAAATGTACATACTGGTAATAAAATTATAACCTGAATGCACTGTAAGTCGCTTTGGATAAAAGTGTCTGCTAAATGCATAAATTATTAAATAAAAATTAATTAATTCAATTATAAAAATACAATAAATAACCTATATGCCAAACTACATTCAAACATATTCCATTATTAACTTAAAAACATATATTTTATTATTATTATTTTATGTATGTATTTATATTGGTATAAACAGTATATATTTAATTCAGTTTTGTATGCATATTTTAATACATGCATTTTAAATATATTAGATTATACATATGTTAAATATAATATATTTAAAATGCATATATTAAAAATAAATGCATATATACATGCATAAATATAAATATAGGCCTAAATGCATATATAAAATGACTAAATATACAAAACGGAATTAAATATTCATGAATCATAAACACAATCCATAATGCTATTATATTATGTATATTATATGATATATAATAATAACTATACAATATAATAAAATATATGCATTCATAAACCATACATCATTTCAGCATGTGGTCAGTTCTAAATATTTGGCAGTCACTGATCTATGATATTCTCTATTACAGATCAGTGGTTGCAGTACCAACACTCGGCCACTTGTGCAGTATCATAGCAACGCTATTGTAAACAATACTCTCTCATTCATCGCGCTGTGTTATATTTCGTGGAGTAGTGGTTATTAACGCAACTGAAAATGTAGCAACCCGAACCTTTTGCAGGGGAAGAGGTAGACGAATCTGGACCATCTATCGAGTCTAAAAACCCAGAGGAGAGAATTACCGCCCGTCGCCTCCGCATAGCCGCACGAAATGAGGCCAAAACACGGTAAACATTCATCTCGAGTTCATTAGCTCGGTACCTTGTTTCATTAGTTAGCAATAAACCTGGCATTCTCAGATCTTTCGGTATCTTATTATAGATTTTTTTTATACGCGCAATGAAATACATATTGAATTATTTTGCAGTCAAGAGCTTGGCGAAGATTCCCAGGAAAAGCAGGATATTAAAGAAGAGATACGGAAAAGTCAGAAGGAAGTGGAGAAATGTAAAAGGGTCAGTCGTCTGCATTTAAATATATTTTTCAAATGGAACGTCTTGCTTTTCTTCCTATATATTATATTATATTATATTATATTATATTATATTATATTATATTATATTATACAGTGTTGGGGAGTAATATATTATATTATATTATATTATATTATATTATATTATATTATATTATATTATATTATATTATATTATATTATATTATATTATATTATAGGGAAGAGGTAGACGAATCTGGACCATCTATCGAGTCTAAAAACCCAGAGGAGAGAATTACCGCCCGTCGCCTCCGCATAGCCGCACG